GTTAGACAAAAAGTACAGATGCTTAATTATGGGAGTCTTTCGATAAATGTAGTTCCTCACTGAGCAACATCATGGCAGGCCCAAGGCGCTTTAGATAAGTAGTTCACTTCACGTTCTTGTACTGATCAAGATATTTAGCTGATAATCTTGACAAAGATAACAATAAAAATGAACCCTTGCGAAGTTAGCAATGAATGCTGTATGGGAACCCTTATAACGTCTAATTGTAAGATTGTAATTACAACATGCGACTAAACAATAAACATATATACAAGTGCAAAGATTAAAAGCAGGATTTGGAATTTTATACCAATAAATACTTCATAAGAATAACCAGAAAGTCATCTTATTTTACAAGCGACGTACTAGCGGATTTATTCTAAAGCAACTAGAACTGATGCCCCGCCTGTCATAACCTGTTCCAGGTTTTTAGACAGTGGAGAGTGTTTTCCTGTTTACTTTTCTTTGCGCAGTCTCCACTATGTGAAGACCTGGACAAGCTGCACATGTGATTCTTATCACTAAAAATTGGCTTAAATGGTTGATTCTCAAACGATCCTTTGATATTGAAATCTGTTCAGTATTAAGTGAGCTGTGGGGGACATTTGGGCGGGTTGTTTACATGGAGTTTGGGGACCCCAGGTAGGTGAGGTAACCCGCTTAGATGGGATAACCCGCCTGTCCATATAATCTCTCATTTAAATTTGATCGCGTTTACATGTTACGTCGGGTGACTCGCCACATGTTATCTCACCTATCTGGTCCCCCACCTCCATGTAAACGGGCCCTTACAGTGCGACTACTATAACCGGGGCCACCTAGACAAAGTTGACCAATCGGATAACAGGAAAATAATAATAATAATAATAATAATAATAATAATAATAATAATAATAATAATAATAATAATAAATAGTCAATTTTTGCCCGCGCTTCACTATCCGAATGCCTGGAACAGGCTGATCTAGATTTTTTTGCCTTCTTGACAGATTAAGGGACGTTACTGAAACCTACGACGCGATGATAATAGAAACGTCAAAGAGGCGATAGTTTTAATGAGAACTTGAAACAACAACCTTGCACGCGCATCACGATTTTTTGTAAATTTCATTGCCCTCCCTGTACAAATACGACATCAGATGGCCAAATTTTACGTTCACTTGAGAACGGGAACGGCAAGGCGATAAGTTCTACCATCTCCATCTGAACTCGGGCGCAGTTCCTTCTCTTCAGCTGCAACATAAATTTTCTTCTTTTAAATAACTTGGCGACTTAAAATAATCGCGAAAAAGTTCGAAAGGATGCAAAGTCTATTTTTCAACGACCTTTTCATAGACGTCCCCGTTGTTGGATCGTAAGGTCCCAATTTAGGTACTTCATCGTCAGCAGATGTCAATTTTTAAACTGGCACGGATTCCAGCGCAGCATGACAATGCTATAATCGAACAGTCATGTAGTATTCATGTATATTGCGTTTAAGCTCCGAGCAAACGGACGCAAGTTATAGTTCAGTTTTTTTAACATGTTTGACATTACCACGGCATTCATCAACTATTATGATGAACAGGATTCTGATATTTAGCCGTGAATATCCTAGTAATTCAAGCTAAGAAGATATCATTGTACCTTGTTCTAAGATTGCAGAGACTAAAGCACTGACTTCCCGCGGTAGCGAATTCGGCATGTTATCTGCAGGAAAATTCGTAATTGATGCCGGCAAAATTGAGGTGTTTACGTACGTCGTAATCAGCGGAAGCTAATGATGAACTTGGAACACTGTAGCATAACAGTGATCTAATTGGATAGGAAATTATTCTGTGTAAGGGTTATGAATTGTTTTTTTCGGCAACACAGAACTTTCCTTTGGTTATAGAAAAGCCCGATAAATTATTCCTTATGCTGCAACGTTTAGTATAGAAAAAAAGTCTTCATTGATTTAGTTAGTAAGTCATATCTTCCCTTTGACTTTCTAAACTCTTTGTGAAACGCACACCTGCTCTAAAGAGACAGTGTAAACGTAAACAATGTAATATTAAATCTTCTAAGTACAAATAGTAATAATACTGATAAGAATAACATTTTGAAATCTATATTAAGCACCGAAAAGCGTTGAATTAAATCCAAAGGGAAGTAATGCTGTGAGAATCTCTCAGGTTGAATAACAGTGGGGAGATAATATTCAGAATCGAAAACACTACATGAATGTAGTGATACAAAATACTCCATTTAAATGGTTTCACTTAATATTTCACCAAAAGTCTGATCCTCACACTGAGACCTAAACTGTGCGAACAAAAGAGTGAAAATTGTTTATGAATATACAAAGCTTTATTCTATCATTGAATCATTTTAAGGTTAGCTGTTAAATTAAAACAACAAAAAAAAGGCTTTTAGTCAATGATTGATATTTGAAAACTTATCGGTTTATTCACTCTTCCAAGTCCTTATCGATACAATAAGCAAATCTCGGCTTCGAATTAAAAATTCTAATTTTGGTAATCGGCAAGCCTGATACATTAGTTCATTTAATTAGCATAACAAAAAGTGTGAATGTAAGGAACCAGGTTCGTTTTAAGTCAAGTCTGTGTAAATAAATACATACAGAAGTAGAGCTAATGTAATTTGGGCAATAACACAGGAAGAAAATCCGTGTAAGCCTTTGAAATAAGAAACTTTGGAGAGGCATCCTATTAAAAAATGCAACTAGATCGTAACCTTCATTCCATTAGATAGTAACTCCGTCTCATTAGATTGTAAGTCATAGATATCATTTGTTTGTAAGCTTTATTCCACTGGTTCATTCTTCTATGGCATTTGATTGCATCTGATTCAATTGCGAATTGGATCGATCGTTCTTCACTTTTAACCGTACTTCGCAGGAACTGCAAACAGTACTTGAAGCTCACTTTTTGGTGGACTAAACTTTGATGTACAAGGTGGCGATAGTTCCAAGGGATTCAGATATATATTCTCATCAAGAACAGTGAGTTTGCTCCCTTGTATTATAAGACAAAATAGAATTTCCTTAATATGCATCCTATTTCTAATTGTGTTTATTTTGAGCGTTGTTCGTAGTCAAAAACAATCCGAACACGCTAACCTCTTTGCAAAGTCTTCGCCTTCTGAGACAAAAACATTTTTTGCAATATGGGGGTATATGGGATTCTGACTACTAAAGCCATGAGTGAGTTTTAAGCGGGTGGTCATTTTCTGGTGCTCATATAAGCTTAACGTCCGTACAGGTGCAATTTAACTTGACAAGTACCATAGGTTAGTCCGAGATCAAGAGTTCTATACACAAGAACTCGAGCCAGGAAACTGTGCGAATTGTTATTACTATCAGTTTTTTTATTCGCTATAATCATTATAAATTTCTCTCTGACTTAAAACAGATATAGTTCCAATGCAAACACAATAGGGCCATTTATACGAGGAAAAATAAGACGCGTCTTACATACGACGCGAACTGTACCATTTATACAAGCATGTCTTATCTAATAAGACCCGTCTTAGCTAAATAAAAGCCGCGTCTTATTTTAGACGAAATGTGCCGTTTATACGGAAAGTTCGCGTCTTATTTAAGACGCGTCTTATTTTACCTCGTATAAATGGCCCTAACGTCCTCAGTATTCCGCCTAACGATTGCTACTGATTAATCTTTCTTTTCTAACTTTACTGTACCGTTTCTAGATGTCAAACAGAAGAACATCAACCTATCTATCAAATATCTCGTCACCGACTACACCTCGCGCTACAAATGTTGCTTTCTCCTATCTGCTGCCAGTTGCCTTTGGTTTAATTGCTGCCATCGCTCTTATTGGCAACGGTCTTCTTTGCGTTGTTATACTGAAGAATTATCGGATGCTTAGATCTGCATATAACTTGCTGATATTCAGCCTGGCTGTGACAGACATGCTAACAGGTAGAACGTTTTTAGAAATCAGCTTCTTTGCCTTGTAATTGACGAAGAAACCATCGGACACATGTAGACCTACAAATTACCGATTGTAACACTTGGTGACGAGTGTGAAAGAGGGTGTCTACTCTTAAGATACGCACTGTACATAATATCTTGGTTAGAAGCATCAGACTTTCTTATGCCAACACAAAGTTGAACGTATTTTGCAGGATATCGAGTTAACCACACTAAATATGACGCTAAGGCCCGGTTCAGACGCAGAACTTTTCATGGCCGAGTCAAATTATTTAGACCGGCGTAATTGATTCAGACGTCGACCTTAATATTGAAACAGGCGTTCCTTATTGATTCAGACGCCGAACTTTTCATGTTTCAATGTATTAGGTTCTGCTCATGAAAAGTTCGGCCTCCTGAAGCGGACCTAGTACAATTTATTGAGGAAATCAGATAAAAAGTGTAAAAAAAGTCATGCAGTAGACATCACATTGACGATGCCGATCATTGTAACAACTGATGACTTCATCTGATTGTAAATCTTAAATAGAATATAGGCGGTAAGATCTATTTGATACAAGAAAGGATTAGTAAACTGTGAAATCATTAATCTCAAACACAAGATAAAACATGTCTAGTTTGGCATAGGCATATTTCGACCTGCAAGGCATATATTTGTTGATATTCTAGCAACCTCATTCTTTGTCTCATCTTTATTTTCAAGGAGTGTTTATTGGTGTGACGCCAAACTACCTTGTCTCCCTAAGCTCGTACCAGGCTCCCAGTGGATTACCTGGGGTAATTTTCTGCAAAGTCATTGGTTCCCAGTACTTCGTGTTTCTACTTGGTAAAGTGTCCTGTCTCACGGTCACGTGTCTTGCTGTGGAAAGATGGTACTCTGTGGTTAAGCCTGTCAAATATCGACTTAAGTTTAAGAGACGACGAGTTTATGTGTATCTTTTGATCATGTGGTTAACCTGTCTTTTATTGCATTCATTTGTACTATTCGAAATCACGCTTGACGAAAAAAACCTGCGATGTGTGTGGATAACATCCGCTTTCCCCAAAGAACTTACGGTAATGACATACACCATCGTGACATTCTTTGTTCCAAATACAGTTACTTGGGTTACTTATCTTCACATTTCTTTTGCGCTTAAGAGGTCCCCAGTAATTAATAAAAATAATACGCGTTTCACTCGCACACGGTTTAAGCTTCTGCGCATGTGTATTATAGTAGCCCTGCTTTTAACAATATGCTGGTTTCCAAATCAGCTTTATTATGCCTTGGCTTCTTATGACCTTGTCAGACTGGAGTCGCCTTTCCATCACTTCACTATCGTCCTTGCTATGTTCAACTCGTGCACCAATCCTGTCATTTATTGCTCCACAAACCGGGAATATAGAAAAGGGTTTCTTATGCTACTTTGCCCTTTCTTTAATTCCTGCCGATGCAAGAAACGAAGGGAGATAAGTCTAGCACAGGAAAACAGATCGAGAGTAGCAAGTGGAGAATTTGAAATGGAAACATTTGACGGTGGTGTGATGTTGACTTTTCGTAATTTGGTCAATCAAGGTTACGATGTCGACGACTGCAAGCAAGAGGAAACCAGTGGTGTTTGCAGTGAGCTTATTTGAAGAATCGGTTAACTGGCATTTCTCTTCACTTCAGTCTTTTCAGCTGTGGTCAGGCTTGTTACACTTTCGTTAAGCTTCCGGCTGACGTAGACGAAGCGGACTGCGGTTTTACAGTCAGCGTTAGTTCAACAGGTGGTAAGTGCGCGTACTCGGGGAAAGTGGTCCCTAGCTTCATTCCTGGCGATAGGAGCCCATGAGCCCCTGCTGGCGAAAAATGACTAATTGGTCGATACGTGACCACGTGACATTTCCTTGATTCAACATGACGGCAAAACCTTCATCGTCTCTTGTTTAGAACTGCGGTTTATGAGTTGCATGCAGACTGCGTATATTTTTTGAATGGCTTAAACTTTTTATTATCCTTTATTATATAATGAGCCGGACATTTTGTTCCTGAAAAGATAAAGCGAAGTGTTTGCAGCTGGTATCTACCCCAACAGACTTTTATCACCGAAACTCCAGCTTGAACTGAAGGAACTTCAGCGTCTGCATCAACAATCTTTCCATTGTGAACAGGTGCAATTCAGTGAATAACACTCAACAGCCGCTTTTGACCGAGTTAATTTTCTCTACTTTTTCCATTTTTTCGCTTCTTATTCCCCTTTCTAGGTTTTTCGTTTTTACTTAACATCCGTAAAAACCAGACTAAGTTCTATTTTAGTGACTAAATTCACGCGGATTATTTTATTTTGTATTAAGAGTATTGTCATGGTGTACAATATTTCAAGTTCATCGTTAACATCCGCCAATTTATGGAGTACGCAAATGAGGTCAAGTGTCTTGCATCAGATATAAAAGATCTAAATACATGCGGTCTGTATTAAGTAAACTGAATACAAATCTACATCAAACCCTTACCCTATCGGTTCCTTCTTTTACAATTTTGTGTTTTATTCCCGTTTTTCATTTTTCCGTTCCCAGTGACTCGCTCCCCAATTCGCTTTCCCCGTTTTAGTAAAAGTCTTGTGGTACACATACCTGCGGCTATGAAAGAGACAGTGTAAACTTAAAAAAGTAATATCAGAAATGGCAGTGTTACAAAAATAACATTTTAAAATCTATTTTAGTACTGAAAAAAGTTGAAATTATGGGACTTCATTTGTATATGTACAGTTAATAGCATAAGCTTTAGTGGTATTTGGCAATAATACTACGAATGACATTTCAAAATAATAGTACCCGCGAAGCGGCAAGTGGTGTTTTGGGCAATTTTGAAATATCACAAGCCGGTATTAATGCCAATTATAACATGGTGCGCGTGCTTGCCCTATCTACGTCCTTTCGAGTCGATGCGATAAAATTCTTTTTTATATCAAGCCATTTTTTCGGTAAGAAGGACGCTGAAAACTTTGCATTGCGTGACCAAGAACTCTGCGTGGCGGCGCACTTGTTTGCATGAGGAGATACAACAGATAAAATTTGGCCACCAAACGTGACGAACTTTATTTTCAAGATCTGCCAATATATAATAAACCAAATATCTCTTCAGCAAAGGTGGTGGAAAAACCGCCACCCACTAAGACAAGAAAGAGAAACACACTAGGAATTAATTCGCAGGTAGGCGGAAGGGGAGGTGGTGGAAAATGCTAAAAATTGGTTCAAACGAGCGATGTGAACAACGTGATGGTGAGCGTTCGAAATGGGCGAGCGCATGGAAAAGCGCGCCTAAGAATGAACGATATAGTCTTGGACGCCCTAAATTCTGATTGGTTGAAAATAAGATAGGCCTGGAACCTGCCGCCTTAGCCTGAAAACCATTATCAAATGCCTTGCCATAAAATCCCATTATGATGTCGTCATAACGGTGTCTTACATGCGCACGGCGTGCGTATATAGGCGTGGTAATTGTGTTTATTAAACTTTGATTTTCGCCTCTAACTTTCAACAAAGTCTATAAGTAATTGAACAAAATACTAAAGAACTTTCTAGGTTTTTTGGAATTGACAGCTTCTAGCCACTCAAACCAACAGCAAAAGCGGTGAAATGTTAGCAAATTACCAGACGCCCCGTAGAAAAATTCTCATTCAAAGAATGACATTCAGTTGGAAATAAAAACCACAAGCTCATATGAGTCGGGGAACATCCGATTATATAGTGTCCTCATTTTTTAACGTTTGCTTAGCCCTTTGAAATCAAGTTAATTAATGGCGAGAAACTACGCACTTTCGTTATAAACGAACAATCCGTGGAGAGAAAATTTCTCTTTCAGGATCGAAACAAAGCGAGCATGAGCTTTTACCAAGACAAAAATTTATTACTCATAAAGTAACACAACATTTATTACTCATAAACACAACTACAAAAAGGTCCTCTCAGAGGTAGACTGCTTGAAGTTCGCCTTTTCTTTAAGATCCGTCAAGTTTTCGGTGACAGTGAGTACGTATGGACAAAAACCTCTTTTAGCCAAAAGGGACTGGGCGAGAGTCCAGTTGTGTACGTGGGTACACAACTAGATATACGCAACAAATGACGCAATCTAAGCATGAAACCACGTAGAGTTCACGCTATTATATATTTATCATAGAAGCCGAGAAACTGTCGGCAACATTCAAGATACCTTTATTTTGTTCTAGTTGAATGAAAAAACTCTTACCAAAGTGGCGCTTCATTCAAAATATCTTTTTACGTCAAGAATAGGCAAATGATTGACAGCTTCTAGTATTGAGCGTCGAAAATGTAGCAAACAGCATGAAAAAGGTTAAATGTTTTTGCAGTAACTGCAGTGGTAAGAGATCACGCATTGACTTCACATACAAAAAGTACTGAAGTTATGACTCGCCAAGTTTCTTCTTTGTAAAACACCAACGCCAACTCCTTAATCAGTCATTATTGTCGCTTAGCAGCCATGAAAGTGGTGTACTCTTGATGTTTGCGTTTGGGAGTATAAAGAAGTGATTTACTATCGCCGAAAACTACCTACCTTTTTCATTTCTTCATCTTGAATGGTAAGTGCTCTGAGTGCTTTTGTTGAATTTGGTCGTTTTCCGAAGCCTTTCTCGCGAAGACCTCTTGCCTTTCCCTTCTGCCTGAACTTGACAAATTCTTGGTTTGCTATGCAAATTTTGCTGTCATTTTGTCTGTCGAGAGAAAGCTAATATACGGTAAATGATCCCCGGCTTCCGGTTTAAAAAGAAACCCTGTTAAAGACGCTAAATAGTGAAATTATATACCCTGTTTAAGACTCAAGACCCTGAAAACCATACCCTGTTCAGCGGCACATACCCGTATAGGCAAAATAAGGGAGTGCCCCCCCTCCCCCGGAGCAAATATACTGTAAATGATTCAGATGCAGGGGGAGTTTATATTCAATCTTAGGGGTCCAAGAATGAGCGTTTAATAGATAGGAGGCGTTTATTCTCATACTACCGTGCAGCGGCGGATACAGAGGAGGGGCCCGAGGCCCCCCCCCGTTATTTGTAGACTAAACTGAGGCCCAAAGGGCCGAAAAAAACTTTTTTTGAGACCGGGTCCCCCGCTCTATCAAAGGGCCTGGATAACCGACTCCCTTATTTCAAGGTATTGATGCGGCACTGCTGTGACAAGCTCTACAAAACTAATGTGATTTCAGCGAAAATACCAAGAGAATTTGCAAATAGCACAATATATATTCTTCCAGTCATTGAAATGTCTAGGCCATCAAGAGACCATATCGCTTTCAGTCAAATGTCAACTGCTACAGTGTCATCGTTAGCCTATCCTTATTTTAAACATGACTTTAAACAAGATACAAAGTCCAAACCCTCCTTAACCAAGGAAGAACGAAACAAATAATTTGCATGATATTGCTCCTTTTTGTTATTTCCTGTTATTTTCAGTAATTGTCATGGGAGCGTCTATTAGACGGGTGGCGTTTTCTTAGAGTGGGGCGTCTCATTAATTCAAACTTAATAATTTTAGATCTTAAGGGAGGCAAATATTAAGAGGGGGCGTCAATTAGATCATTTACGGTAACCCTCAGACTATCCAGCTCATTATATAGTTAGAGCCGTCACTTTGCAAATTGCAAGCCCTTTGGCTTCTTATCCACACACCCCGTCGTTGTTAATACTCTTTCTTTTGGCCAACGCTTCTCCCAAACATTCATCCAAGTCTTAGGATTTTTTTTACTATAAATTGTTATTGTTTGTTGTCATCCGTATTTGCTGTTATACCAATATTACGCTGAAATACTACTACTACCTTTTGGGCACTACTATTAACCAATCAAGTCTCCCCGGCAGATAACACTAAATCTCAACGATTGACATAATTCTTCATATCATACGAAAGCCAAATTCGGTAATTGTTTCATTATTCATTCAAAATAGTTATTTCCAACTTCAAAACACGCTTTCCTCGATCGAAGTGAAGTCCGCATCTCCGTAACTCAGCAAATTTAGGATATAAATGGTTTTAATTTTGACAAGCGGATTTTCTTCAAATAGACGTTGTCATCCGTCCAGTGCTAAATGTATTAATTGCTGTTCTTGGTACGTTTCTAGGCAATAGTTAGGCTATATTTCGTATATTTCTTCTTTGCAAAACGTGTGAAATTTTGCAACTTTTTCTTAAGCTCTACCGAGACAGCTGACCTACCTTTCTACCTTGCCCTCCGCTGTCCCTTTTTCTGTTGATACTACACAATTGACGTCAAATTGTATTGCCCCGAATATCTGCAAACTTCTTCCAAATTTGCGGGTCAACGGTAGCTGATTATGAAGAATCAACCTGGGGCCATTTAAGCCAATCAGAAACAGGGAAATATTTTGAGTGGATAAAAAACATTATTTTCAGTTCCCACTCGCTTAAAATAAGACGGTTCCAATTACAATGTCATCAGTATTCCGCCTTGCGATTGCTACTGATTTTTTTCTATTTTTACTGTGTCGTCTTTAGATGTTAAACAATAAAAGCTCCCCAAGATATCTGACAAATATATCGACACCGACTACGCCTCCGGCTTCAGCTGTAGCTTATTCCTACCCGCTGTCAGTAGCGTTTGGTTTTATTGCTGCCCTGGCTTTTATTGGTAACGGTCTTTTTTGCATTCTTATACTGAAGAATTATCGGATGCTCAGATCTGCATATAACTTGCTGATATTCACCCTGGCTGTGACAGACATGATAACAGGTAAACGATTTTAGAAATCAAATCAGTCTTTTCCTAGTGTGAGTGAGAAACTATTGTACACTAAGATCTCCACACATGAATTACCAATAGTTACACCTGGTGACGAGTGTGAAAGAGGTTCCCTACTTTGATGAGACGGAAATAATACCGACTAGTTGTAGCATAAGAAATAATTCCTATGCAAACACAAATTAGGATTATATGAACGACACACTATTTTATTGCCATTAAATAGAGTTTCTTAAGGAAGTCATTAGTTTTTAAACAGTCATGCAGTATACCTTATTTAGGATGCCCACAGTCTTTGCAAGTAGTAGGGATTGACGGATTTTGAGACCATCTTCGCATTTAATTTTTCTACAAAATCGCTCACCAACCACTCTTTTCATCAATATCTGGTTAGCCTCGCTGCTTTTCTAAATTTAAAATAATGATTTCTTAAGACTGTAAGCTCTCCGAAATTTTCCAACGTTAAACATTTTCCTTTATTCTGACAACTCAGCCATAGTTTTCTCATGTTTGTTTGTCCTCTTAGTGAGAGGTTCCCGGCATTAGCCTCGCATTCATGTTCAAGACCTACTCGTCCCAGGACCGTCGGGAATACGAATATTGTCTATTTCATTTCTTTTTTATTTTCAAGGGGTGATTATTGGTGTGACGCCAAACTACGTTGTCCCCCTAGGATCCTACCAAGTTCCAGGCGGATTACCTGGGGTAATTTTCTGCAAAGTCATTTGTTCCAGTTACTTCGTGTTTGTATTTGGTAAAGTTTCCTGTCTTACGGTCACGTGTCTTACTCTGGAAAGATGGTATTCTGTGGTTAAGCCTGTCAAATATCGACTCAAGTTTAAAAGAGGAAGAGTTTGTGTGTATCTTGTAATCATATGGATAACCTGTCTCTTATTGCATTCATTAATGCTGTTTGAAATGACGCTTGATGAAAAAAAACTGCGATGTGTGTGGATAACGCCCGATTTTCCCAAACAACTAACACCAATGACCATCACAATCGTGACATTCTTTTTTCCAAATGTAGTTACGTGGGTTACGTATCTGCACATTTCCCTTGCGCTTAAGACATCCCCAGCAATTAAAAATAATGGACGTTTAGCTCGAGCACGGCTTAAGCTTCTTCGTATGTGCGTTATAGTTGCACTGTTATTCACAATATGCTGGTTTCCAAATCAGCTTTACTATGTCCTATCTTCTTATGGCCTTGTTAGATTAGAGTCGCCTTCTCATCGCTTCACCGTCGTCCTTGCTATGTTTAACTCGTGCATCAATCCCGTCATTTATTGCTCCACACACCAGGAATATAGAAAAGGGTTTCTTAGGCTACTTTGCCCTTTCTTTAATTCCTGCCGATGCAAGAAACGGAGAGAGACAAGTCTAGCACAGGAAAACAGATTGAAGGTAGCAAGTGGAGAATTTGAAATGGAAACATTTGACGGGGGTGTGATGTTGACCTTTCGTAATTTGGTCAATCAAGGGTACGAAGTCGGCGACTGCAAGCAAGAGGACACCAGTGGTGTTTGA